CGTTCTAGCACCCATGGACCTGGTATAATTTGTACCGTCTCTCTCTTCACTTTCTCCAGTTTCTGCACATCTTTTCTGAAATGTGGCACACAATACTGCAGTTGAAGGCTATATCAGCGTGCAGGCCCGCAGACACTGTGGGGGAAAGGGAGTAACTGTCCCAGGCCCAGACCCACCAAGTCAGAGGCTCAGGGCACTGAGCTGATTGACTGCACAGGGCTGATTAATCACCTGTGAAGCTGTGTTGCTGAGCATCTAAGAGGGAACGCCGGCCACCACCGCTGCTACTAGAGCCCAGGAGCCTTTAAATGGCTGTCAGAGCACCGTGCTGCACATTCTGGGCAGCACTGAGGGCTGGGGGAGGGAGGTGAATATAAGAACATAAGAACAGTCGTACTGGGTCAGACCAAAGGTCCATCTAGCCCAGTACCCTGTCTGGCGACAGTGGCCAGCACCAGGTGCCCCAGAGAGGGTGGACCGAAGACAATGATCAAGCGATTTGTCTCCTGCCATCCCTCTCCAGCCTCTGACAAACAGAGGCCAAGGACACCACCTTATCCCCTGGCCAATAGCCTTTTATGGACCTAACCTCCATGAAATTATCTAGCAGTACGGTGCTCTCCCTGAGGCAGTGAGGGCTGCCTTGCCCCCCTGCCTTCTGTACCAAGTCCCCACCCCTTCCACGGGCACAGAGCAGGATGGATGAACTCGACTATTTCATGATTCCTTTCACCTAAGCTACCTTCCACTTTCAAATTTGCAACCAGTTCTCTACATTAGGCAAAATCAAATCTAGAACAACTTTTCCCCTAGAAACTTTCTCCACATTATGAACAAAAAAATTGTCTCCAGTATATTCCAAGAAGTGGTTGGATAATCTATGCATTAATGTGTCTAGGTCGATGAAGTCCCCCGATCACCACCAGCTTGTGTGGTTTGGATGATTTTGTTAGTTGTTTAAAAAAAAAAAAAAAAAAAAACCTCATCTACCTCTTCTTCCTCAACACGAGGTCTATACCAGCCCCTTGCCATGGTATCACCTTTTTGAAACCCTTTCATCCTTATCAGATACTTTCAACAAGTCAGTCTCTGATTTCCATTTCAACCTCAGTTTACAGTTTTGGTATGTAAAGCAATACTTCCTCCCCTTTTTCCTATCTGTCTTTCCTGTGCAAGCTGTGTCCTTCTATAGTAATATTTCAGGCATGTGTTTTACCCTACCAAGTCTCTGGGATGCCAATTATGTCATAGAAGATTAGGGTTGGAAGAGACCTCAGATGGTCATCCAGTCCAGTCCCACCTGCCCCCAAGTTATCTTTATTAACTAGCAACTCTAGTTTTTTTCCTCTACTTATACACCATACTTCTTGAATCTGCATATAGACATCTAAGATACTGATTTGACTACCCCCCTTATAGTCTCTCATGTAGCAATTATAATCATTTCACAGGACAGATTCATTCTACATACCTTGTTTACGTACATCCTCTACAGCAACAACCAATTCCTCCTTAAGGTCCTGGCTCTCTCTAGCAATCTGTTCTCCTTTTTCCAAAAAGTTTTGGGTAGCTTGCTCTACTGAAGCAGCCAACACATGTGCCTTCTTAGATCGTCCTTTCTTTTTACCGGATGGTCCCTTGTTGCTTGTGTTAACTAGCGTTGTCACCTTTGGAAGGGAAAAACAAAAGGTTTTGTTTTTTTAAGTCTGCACACCACATTATTAATTAGTTGCCCTAATTAGTTTTAAATCAGTTGTCCCATATGTAAGGTCATATGATCGTCAATATTTCTTTTCTCTACTGTGCCTTTCTGTCTCTCCACACACCCAAAGAAATCACATAATATCACATAAAACAATGCAAATCATTCAAGTTATATATAACAGGATAATATACTTCAGGAACTAGCAGAAACAGGCAGGTCACCTCTGTTGAGATGTTTTGTTATTAGGTGCTTAAACACTGAATGAAGAAGCAATGCAGTTACTGCTGAGGCACAATGGCAGGTTCATTTAAATAGCTCTAATTAGGATATAAACGATTGTTGGAGTGACCATAAGAGTATTTCTTCACTGCAGGGTTAGCATAGACACTTAGCTGGGTTTTAAGCCCTAACCCTTCTCTGCCACCCTCACTCAAAATCTTTACACCCAAGTTGGACCTGGCTTAGTAGGCCAGTTGGGGATATAAATTAGAGCACAGGTTTCTAAATCACTCAGCAGTCTGGACACCCACACATAGGTTTCATGTTTGTTTTTATTTTAATCATAACTTGAACTTTGAATTTCCATACTTTTCAAAGTTTGTTTCACTCTTTCTATCATGGTGATATATCTTTGTAACCCAGTTCTGGACTAACAAAGAAACACAATTAAATTACTCATACAAGATTAATAAGAGCAGGTTTCAAATGCAGTCAGCAGTGAAACTAATGGACCTGAATACATAAAAAAGATATTGCAGAAATTGGCATGGTTAAACTGAATGCAAAGAAAATGATGCTGGTATTTTATTTTAATTATACTCTTGATGGGAGATGGATTCGACAGAGGCTGTGTGACCAATGGCAGTGCTAGCTAAGGCATTCTGATCTCCAGTGCATGGCACACATACATACCAGAAGAGAAACACTTGCACTCAAAAAAGAATTAGGTCTGATGCTGGTAGGCTATTTCAGGTAATACATACATAGAGAGAAAACAAACTAAGGAAAAGCTGCAAAAGCTACATGGAGAAGAATCACTAATTATGGTAGTAACACAATTTTTTTGTCTGTAGAAAAAGTGTGTAACTTCTATAAATGGGCAGAGACAGAGAATACCCCTAACTTCTTTTTGTCTCTAAAGCATTAAATTTTCCATTAAAAAACCAAACCTTATTCATTACCATAACGCATCATATTGCACATCCTTCCAAGATAAAGAAACTAAAAAAAATCAGTAAATAGTCTACCAAAAAACACATCCATACAAATTCAATATATTGATTTTTGTTAAAATGTATTGAAAATGGTACTTTATTATGTCTACAACAGTATAATATTTGCATGAATTATTTCAAAGGAAATTATTATTTTTCAAAGTATTCAGACAGAATATTAACAATGTGGTGGGTACTTTTATTTCAAATTTTCCCCGGTGCTAATATATGAAGATACTGAGGTCAGAGCTGGGTTACACATTTTCCAACAACACAGTTTAATCAAAAAATGCAGATTTGTAAAACACAAAATGTTTTGTAGAAGCATCATGAAATTTGGTGAATCATACAGAGGTTTCTGCGGGAAATCTATCACCTCACCAGGCTGCTCGAGTCTTCCAGGGTCCCCAGCTCCACAACATCCAGCCATATCACAGGGCTTCCAAACCCCTAGTCATGCTTCCAGAATCCTGACAGCCAGGCCTCAGCTACTGGTTCCCCAAGCTTAGTTTCCAAGTTCCCTGTCATGGAGCTGTAAGACTGGAATTCTAAGCTAGCCTACCAAAGCCTATGGCTTCAGGACAGCTGTGCCAAGCATAACCAGTTTAAAAAACGTGCTAATAGTCATTTTTTATACCAGTTTACTTTTTTAGTGGCTCATCTCCTCACACTTCCTATAATTTCAAGTGTCCTTAAATAAGACATTAGAATGCAATTACAGTATTTTCCTTGACAGAGCTTCAATTATTATGCATGTACAAACACATGTGAACGCACGCTCACTCTCCTTCTCCCCACCCATCCATTGGCTGTCTGCCCTCAATTCATCTTCTTTAAAATCCATTTCATACCATCCGTTATAATTTCTTAAACATGGTGCCTCGTTTGGCATCCATACATTATGTCTTCCAATTAAAGACAAGCCTTGATCTTTCTATACCCATGCACTATTGGCTAAGCAATGTACAAGTAGGGGGAAAAACAAAAGAGGTGGAAGAGAAGAGATTCTATACCACCAACACCCCCACAAAACAATTACATCAACAGCAAATCCTGTTTTGTTGCACATTGAAGCAGGGGTGCCCTGAGTATATCAATATCCTAGATGAAAAATGTTATGGCACCTAGGAAAATAGGTAAAATATTTAAAAACATTTAACATAAAACAAGTGATAATCAATCACATTTGAGAGCTGCTCCTCAAACAGAGGTAGCCATGAACCCCGTGAGGCACTCTTTTTGACGAGGTGTTCCTGTTGAGAACAGGACACCAGGTCACCCTATACCAGGAACTGAAGACTTCCTCCCATCCAAATGGGACCCTTCTCTCAGTCAGCAATTTGAGAAAAGCCATCTGGTTGCACCCACTGATGTGTTGCTCAGAACCACTGAGAACCCATATGTAAAGACTAGTCATCGAGATCAGAATATGAATGCAAGTCCTGCAGAAGATGATGAACTAGACTCAGTATGAAATATTTGCTTAGAATTCACAGAGCTGCTACCAAACCAAAAAGGAACACTCTGCACTACGAATTATTGCTTTCCACTGCAGCCTGAGGCTTTGCCTGTCTTTTTATATTACTGAATTTGTGGACAAAGACATCTCAAACAGTAAATCTCTTTTACAATGAAATACTGGTCCTTAACCCATGATCATAGTTTCATTTATAAATGAAAATTTTTTCATGCTTCACATTTGTAAAAAAGCATCATTTTCAGTACAGCTGGCAAAAACTATAGATTTTTGATTTGCAATAAATTTCACTCTTTCAAAATCTGGTCTCATTCCAATTTGGCAGGAAGCCCAGAAGCAATGAGAACCAGCCAGTATTACCAGGCTTCTAAGCTCCCTGGCACAGACCCTGGAAACCTGGAAGGTTCTCAGGGTTTCCGGGCTTCTTGTTGTGGTACCAGGGGCTCCTGGACTCCCAGGAAGGGAATCTGGAAGTCCTGACATGGGGAAGTAACTGTGGAGTCATGGACTCTTAGAAGGGTCCCTGAGAGCTGGGAGGGAACCAAGGAGGTTTCCATTGGAACTGTGGCAGACAGGGTTGTGTGAGAACCGCGCCTGAAATTAGGCAAAACTCAAATTCAATCCATTTTCATGCTAGAAGCATAGATTTTCAAACAGGCCTGTACCGACTGCTAACTTTTAAACAATGGCTTACAAATTTTAAGCAATGGGCAAATAATAGCTACAAACATGAAAGGCATGAATTAGCAACAATTATCAAAACAAAGACATGTCATTGCTAGTAGGTTTTTATGTGGAGGGTTGATAATTCCCAACACAACAAAGTAACATCATTCATCTTTGAGCAAAGGAGGGATTTGCAATCTAGCTAATGCTGCAATCAATCTCATCCATGCTTTTACTCTACTGAACATAACAATAAAGTGGAAAAAACAAACACTAAACGTGTCTGTAACACCGATAGGCAGAACCAACCAATGTGGCAACATGTTGTATACTGACTGCGGCTACGTCTAAACTACACCCCTCTGTCGGCAGAGTGATGTAAATGAAGCACTTTGAAAGTGCAAATGAAGCAGGGATTTAAATATCCTGAGCTTCATTTGCATAATTACATCATGGCGCTGTTTCGAACAAGTGCCATTTCAAAACAAACTGCAGTTTAGACGCTTTTTTTCGATAACGAGGCGCCTTTTCAAAGATCCTGTACTCCTCATTTTTTAAATCCCTGCTTCATTTACATCCCTCTGCCGACAGAGGGATGTAGTTTAGGCGTAGTCTGCCTCACAACCAGGTAACTCCAAATACATTATCTGTTTTGAATCATGCAACCTCAGAACAATTTTGTGTTATCTACAAACGTTTTCAGTGATGAGTCTATGTTTTCTTCCAAGTTACTGATCAAATATTAAAGAGCAGAGAGCCAAGAATGAGTCTCCAGGGGACCTCACTGGAAACACACCTTCTTGATGACACACCTTCTTTTATTTATAATTATGCTATGATACCTATCCATCAGCTAGGTTTTAAGCTACTTAGTGTTTGCATGATGATTTTATATCATTCTAATTTTTAAATCAAAATGTTAACTGATACCAAGACACACACTTTGACAGAAGTCCAAATTTATTTTAACCCCACAATTAACGTTATCAACCTAATTTGTAATCTCCTAAAAGAACAGATATCACGTTAGTTTGACAGAACCTACTTGTTACAAACACATACTAATTGGCATAAATTATATTACCAGCCTTTAATTCTTTGTTAATCAAGTCTCAAACTAGCCACTCCATTATCCTGCCTGAGATCAATGTCAGTGCACCAAGATTTAATGAAAATCAACATTAATGTTCCCGTGAATAACTCAGATAGCCAACTTTTAGGAGCCTAAAACATCACTGGGATTCAGGAATCCAAACTTAAGGACTCAGGCTCCATATAGAATGAATGGGCAAGAGATAAACACCTAGAGAATGAGATTCATAAAACCCAGTGTGCTAGGCAGTTCACTGTACAGACAACAGGCGATGCCAAGGAGAGAGCTGTTCTAAGTACTGCCCCTCTTAGGAACATCAGCACCTACATCTGGGCTGCAAGTTCCTCTGCTTGTGATTCTCAATTATAGAATTGTGCGGTTAGGTACCTGCAGCTTTCTGACAAGAAGCCAACAGTGAGGAGGTAGAGTGTGGAGAGCTGTAAATCGAACCTTACGTCTGTTAGGCAAATGTAACCTATCTACTCAGAACACTTGAGGAACAACAATGCACA